GGGTGAGCGACATGAGGATCCCCAAGACTTCATTGATCGGTGTAGGGACAGACTGCATAACATGAGTATATTAGAGTCCCACGGGGTGGATTTCACTACTTTCCACCTAGAAAGCAAGGCCCGTAGATGGTGGCAGTCACATCTTCTCGGCAGACAAACGGGTTCTCCTCCCATGACTTGGGATCAGTTTACACGTCTTTTCTTGGATAGGTATATTCCACCCTCCTAGAGGGAAGAGTTGCAGTTTCAGTTTGAGCAGCTCCGGCAGGACCAGATGTCAGTGACCGATTATGAGGTGAGGTACTCTGAATTGTCTCGCCATGCACTTATGATACTTCTTACTAAGACAGAGAGGGTATGGAGGTTCGTTTCAAGGTTACCCTCCGGTATTCAGGCCATTTTGGCCCGAGAGGTTAAGATGGGGACCTCTTACCAGCTGGTTATGGAGATAGCTCGGAGGATTGAGGGTTATCATCAGCGGGCCCGAGAGCAGATGTCGCGGGACAAGCAGTTCTATCATTTGGGAGGATTCAGTGGTGCTCCATCTTGGGGCAGAGGTCATTTTGGGAGAGGTCAGCCGAGCAGGCCTACAAATTCAATACCGCTGCCTCATGAGGGTGCTCCAGTTCGACCCTATTTCAGCGCCATGCCAGAGAGTTCCTACCGCCCACCAGCTATCCAGGGTTCTTCCAGTGGGTATTTAGGCCATCAGGGTCAGACCTCAGGGCAGCAGTCCACCGCTCTGAGGGGTTATTACAAGTGCGGAGATCCTAGCCACATGAAGAGATTTTATCCCAGACTTCGGGGCAAGGCAGTGTAGTAGGGTTAGCAGCCCATGATTACAGCACCAGTAGCCACACCAGCCGTCCGACCGCGCATAGGTGGAGGGAAGGTGGGCAGGGGCCATCCTAGAGGTGGAGGCAAGGCAGGTGGAGACTAGGAAGGTGGCGCTCCAGCTAGATTCTATGCTTTTTCGGCCAGACCAGATGCAGTGGCCTCAAATATCGTGATCATAGGTATTATTTCTGTCTGTGGTAGGGATGCTTCAGTATTATTTGATCCATGGTCTACCTATTCATATGTGTCGTCTTTGTTTGATCATTTCTTGGATGTTCCTCGTGAGTCCTTGGGTACTACTGTTTATGTGTCCACTCCGGTGGGAGATTCTGTTGTTGTGGATCGGTCCTGCATTGTTACATTCTGTGGTTATGAGACTAGAGCGGATCTTCTGCTGCTCAATATGACCGACTTTGAGGTTATCCAGGGCATGGACTGGTTATCTCCATATCACACCATCCTTGATTTCCATGCTAAGACTGTTACCTTGGTGATACCAGAGTTGCCTAGATTGGAGTGGAAGGGTTCGTCTGCTAGCACACCTAGTCAGATCATCTCTTTAATGAAGGCTCGACACATGGTTGAGAAAGGTTATTTGGCTTATCTAGCTTATGTTCGGGATACTACCGCAGAGACTCCGGCGATTGATTCAGTGCCTGTAGTCCGGGAATTCTCCGATGTATTTGTTGGTTCCCTAAGTACACGCAAGTATACGTGGTCGTCAAGTAATAAAGTGACTCGAAAGTCGGATGTCGAACCCACAGAGACTTAGATTGATTGTTAACTAAGCAAACTAAAATCAATTAATTGTCCAAGCTATTTAAGAGTGACATTTTTCTATTAATCTACTATTGCGGAAATTAAACAAGTAACAACTAATTTATCAAGAATGCAAATGCGTATGATGAGATTTTACTTCAAAGGAGATGATAATTCCAGGGTTGTGATTGATTTATCAATCCTATAAAGTTCAAATAATCACACTCGTTAATCCAGATTATCTATGGTTGTTAATTAGCCGGATCGCTTATATAAATACCATGTTCCCACAATACTACTCGCCTGCCCACAATATATCAATCCTATATTCCTATGGTATTGAGTCTATCACGAACGAATATAATATGGTATTGAATTAAGCAAGACTGTTAGGTATATTCCTATCCTAACCGCAAAATTGTCCCCCGAGCCACGGGTTTAGAAACAAGCTCTCTCTAATTCTACTCTAATCTAAACACGGCTTTCCTAAGCATAGCATAGATAGTAGGGTGAATTGGTAGCTACAACAATTCACAAGTTAAAACTAGAATTAAAGAAACAACCACAAGATGATAATCCGAATTAGCGAATATGTAATTAATAAACGTTAATATTCATGTCAACCACAACTCTAGAACTTAGAGTGCTTAGCTACTCATGTTCGTAGTAATAATTTTCCAAGTATTTTGCATTAATAAATTACAAAGAAAAGATAAAGGGATGAAGAACTCTATAATTTTCTCCTCCAAGAGTGGTTCCACGTGATGTTCTTGCCTCCGGTCGCAAAAACTCCCCTAAAATGGTGTTTAATGACTATTTATATATGTAGGGAAGAGACCCAAACAAAATAACCAAGTCCAAAACCAAATAGGAGACAAAATAGGATTTAAAAATCCGGAACACGCTCGCCATGGGCCTCGCCTCGCGAGGCAAAACGCACACATCACCTCGCTTTAGGCTTCGCGTCGCATGCTCTAACGTGCAAAAATTCCCTCGTGTCACATGCTCTATCGCGAACAAAATAGCTTGCGTCGCCTGCTCAATAGCGAGCACAGTAGCTTGCGTCGCCTAACTCTTTCTTCAATTCATGTTTCACTGCTTCATTCTTGATTTGCTTAACTTTTCATTCTGTTTCCAATCTTTCCCTTTCACGTTGTCTTCTTTCAACTCTTCTTTTGCCTTGTTTCTTTTTTTTTTGTCTTCCTTTAATTTGCTTTTCAAATATTAATCATCACTCCATCATCAAATAATCACGACAAATAATCACGAGCCACTCATGACATTAAAATTATTCCCATCATCAAATAATCACGAGTCATTCTTGTAGTGCATAAAATACACATAAAATCTCTACTTTGCTCCCAATTTCGTCTTCAACGTACCTACACAAAAAATAAGCTCAATTAAGCAAAAATATATTGTAGTTTAGCATTAAAGCACCAAAATTTAAGGTAATTAATGCACTAAAAATATAGAATTATAGCCAAACATCACTAGGCCACACTTAAACGTTGCTCGTCCTCGAGCAATCAAACTACACTTTATATAGACACGATATATTTACACAATTCTCCTAACTCATCACACCAAGAATATTTAAAATAGACTAAGCACAAGGGTGTAACATTTTCACCTCAAGATTTGACTCACAAGTACCATGCATTATTCACAACTCATTAACTTACTCTAACATAGAGGTCAATGACATTACCTTTCCTTTATGAATCAAGTGCTCTCATACAACAAAAGAGAGTAGTTCCACACACAATAAAATTTAAGAACAATTAGGAACTCAAGATAGAAAGAATTTACTCACTCTCAGAAATAACATTCATATGCCACAAAATATGCACCATAGGCTTTCTCGTAGTGTACTACTCTACTAATCGAGCTCATTCAGTCTAGGATCAAGTAGGACTTTAATTGGTTCTAATGTAGGTTGCGGGTCGGGTAGGATACATTTAGATATAAGAGTGATTACACCTCCCTAAGCACTTTAATACATACACTTTAACATTTAACCCCATACTTATGTCAAACCATAACTCCACCTTCACATCAATGTATATTAACTCCATACTTCTTTAAGCACAATTGCATCAAGAGTCACCACTATTAAGGAATATTTTTCACAACAATACAACTATATTTTTTTCCACTTCAAGTGACTTTTATTTTTCAAAACAAATGCACATTTATCCTTATTTCATTATTTCCACTCAAAAGCCAAACCATCCATCCCACTCTTTAACTTCTACAAAGTTCATAACAATTCAAGTGCTCATGAGAGGTTAAAAGTTTCAAATAGATGGTTAATTTAAACACATGGGTAAGGCTTGTAATGTGGTTGCCAAAGAAATAGGATTATAGGCTCGAACGGGTTAACTACGATACATAACAATTAGGCGAGTAAACTATATATATCTGGCTCAACAAAGAAATGCCTATCTCACTTCCAAGACTGAACAAAACTACTATTTTGCTTTGCAAACATACGGGGCAAGTTATAGACATCAAATGCAATGCACAGAATAACACACAAACCTCCCACACACATGGCACATAACTCACTCAGAATTGGATTCATCAAGACACTCTAGTCAAAGAAGTTAAGCAAATTTAAGATTATACAGTTTAAGGTACTTATACAAGAGTCAAAAACTGAGCCTAAGCGTCACAACCAAAGTACTCACTATTCTCAAGGCATAACAAAGTCAAAAGATATTGCTCCAATTCAATTCATCTCACCATGGCTCCAACTCTAAAACAAAATAAAACTAACTACACCCGGTTCAGACAAAACCTTTGGAAAAGAACCGCGACACAAAGAAAAATCAAGGGGGAATTACTATACTACCTACAACGAAAATATTTTTGTCCTTTTTCTTTAGACTTAAATCCCTCAAGAAAACTGTCTAGGAAATCCATTGTCGGGAATAGCCCATTTTTTCTACTTTTTTTATAGCTACTAAAACACTACACAACTACAAAAACAAAAATAAGAAGTTAACATTTTCTAACACTAAATTTTTTTTTCTTTAGAGAATTCTCCCACCCCACACTTAAAAGAGTGTAGTGTCCCCAATGCAAAAATAAAGCAAAACAATAACAAGGGTGGACAAGAAACTCCCTGAAAGGCCAAAGGCTGGCGCAATAGCGGCTCACGGCTAGTCAGACTTCCCCCACGCATGGTCCTCTGTGTGGCATCCCACACTTAGTTCTCACCATCTAACTCACTTTTGTGCTCTTCCAATGGCTTTGCTTCCTATGCTCATAATCCTACAAAACAAAAACAAAAACTACAACAATAATAAGATAAAAATAAAAATAAAAGAAAGCAGTAAAGATGGGTTGCCTCCCAACAAGCGCTTGATTTAACGTCGCGGCACGACATAGAATCTCGTCTAATCATTGTCAAGTAACACCTTCAACTTCTGACGATCAAAGTCACCTCCATAATAGTGCTTTACTCTTTGGCCGTTCACTAAGAACGTTCTCTCGCCACCTAAGACGCGCAACTCAATTACACCATGTGGAGTGACTCTCACTACCTCAAACGGGGCCGACCATCTCGATTTGAGCTTCCCCGAAAAGAGTCTTAACCTCAAATTGAACAAGAGAACCAATTGGCCCAGTTCGAACTCGCAATGCTGAATATGCTTATTATGCCAGCGCTTGGTATTTTCTTTATATAACTTGGCATTCTCATACGCATGCAAGCAAAACTCATCAAGCTCGTTCAGGTGCATCAATCGCTTTCTACCCGCTAAGTCTGCATCAAAGTTCAGCTTCTTTATTGCCCAATAAGCCTTGTGCTCAAGTTCCACCGGTAAATGGCATGCTTTCCCATAAACCAGCTTGTAAGGGGAGGTTCCGATTAGAGTTTTATAGGAAGTCCGGTGTGCCCATAGAGCATCATCAAGCTTTGTAGCTCAATCTTTCCTACTTGCACCAACCGTCTTCTCCAGGATCTGCTTTATCTCTCTATTTGAAACTTCCACTTGCCCACTATTCTGAGGGTGGTAAGCGGTTGCAACTTTATATTTGACCCCATATTGCGCTAAGACATTGTCCAAGAGCTTGTTACAGAAATGTTTGCCCCCATCAATTATCATCACTCTCGGAGTGCCGGATCTTGTAAAGATATGCTTTTTCACAATCTTAACCACAACCTTGGCATCATTGGTAGGAATAGATATGGCCTCCACCCACTTCGACACATAGTCAATGGCCACCAAAATGTACTTACACCCACTGGACGAGGGAAACGAACCCATAAGATCAATTCCCCAAACATCAAAAATTTCAACCTCCATAATACCGTGCAATGGTATCTCATGCCTTTTCGTAATTGTTCTTGTTCTCTAGCACCTATCACATCTCCTCACGAACTCATAGGCATCTTTAAACACCCTAGGCTAATAGAAACCCGATTACAATACCTTAGCTGTTGTTTTGTCACCCCGCATGATGACCACCATAAGGCTATGCATGGCATTCATGTAAGATAGCATTTGTTTCATATTCGGGCACACATCTTCTCATTAACTGATCAATACACAATTTGAACAGGAATGGCTCATCCCACACATATGACCTCACATCTCGCAAGAACTTCTTTTTAGCATAAGGTTCAAGATCAAGCGGCATCTCTCCACTTGCCAAATAGTTCACAAAATTTGCATACCATGGTACCTCCCCAACAGTAATGGCCAACAATTGCTCATCCGGGAATGTTTCCTTGATGACATCTCCCTCAACTACATGATTCCGAGTTTCTAACCTGGACAAGTGATCATCCACTTGATTCTCTGTTCCTTTATGGTCTCGGATCTCTAAGTCAAATTCCTGCAAGAGTAAAACCCAATGGATTAGCCTTGGTTTTGCATCTTTCTTTTCAAACAAATACCTGATGGATGCATGGTCTGTGTAGACGATGACTTTGGTGCCAACCAAATAGGCCCGAAATTTATCGAACCCCCATACTACAGCAAGCAACTCTTTTTCTGTCATGGTATAAATTATTTGAGCGGGAGTGAGAGTCTTGCTTGCGTAGTAAATGGAGTGAAATATTTTGCTCCTCCTCTGGCCCAATACGCCCCAGTTGCACCATCACTGGCGTCACACATCAGCTCAAATGGCTCGTTCCAGTAAGGAGCCACTATGATTGGTACACTCACTAACTTTTTTTCAGCTCCTCGAATTCTTTCAGACAAGCATTGTCAAACTTGAACGACACATCCTTCTCTAACAACCTGCACAAAGGAGAGGAAATCTTTGAGAAATCCTTTATAAATCGGCGATAAAAACCTGCATGTCCCAGAAAACTCCTAACTCCTTTCACTGAAATTGGTGGTGGCAACTTTTCAATTGCTTCCACCTTAGCCTTGTCAACTTCCAGTCCATCTTTGGACACCTTGTGTCCCAACAATATACCTTCACGTACCATAAAATGGCACTTTTCCCAATTCAGTACCAGATTAGTCTCCTCGCACCTGGCAAGCACTTTATCAAGATTGGTTAAGCATTCATCAAAAGACGGACCAAACACAGAAAAATCATCCATAAAAACCTCCACAAACTGTTCCACCATATCGGTGAAAATATCCATCATATACCTTTGAAAAGTCGCAAGTGCATTACACAACCCGAATGGCATTCTCTTAAATGCATAAGTGCCATAAAGGCATGTAAAAGTGGTCTTTTCTTGATCTTCCGGAGCAATAGCAATCTGATTATACCCCGAATACCCGTCAAGGAAACAATAGTATTCCTGTCCGGCTAACCTATCAAGCATTTGATCAATTAAGGGGAGAGGGAAGTGATCTTTTCATGCAGCATTATTCAACTTCCTATAGTCTATGCATATTCGCCAACCAGTCACAGTCCTAGTTGGGATTAATTCATTTTGTTCATTTACTACAATAGTTATACCCCCCTTTTTAGGTACACATTGAACAGGGCTTACCCACTTGCTATTGGAGATAGGAAATATTATACCGGCGTCGAGCCACTTAATTACTTCTTTTCTTACCACCTCTTTCATGATTGGATTGAGGCGGCGTTGACGCTCCACGCTAGGCTTGTGTTCCTCCTCCATGAGAATTTTGTGCATGCAGAATGCAGGGCTATTCCTTTTTATGTCAGACATCGTCCAACCAATGGCATGTTTGTGCTCCCTCAGCACCCTTAAGAGCTTTTCTTCCTGCAATTCAGACAAATGAGAAGAAACAATCACAGGTAAAGTGTTAGAATTTCCTAAATATGCATAATGAAGATGAGATAGTAAGGGTTTAAGTTCCAATTTTTGGGCCTTCTCAACTGGGGGTTTAGGAGGCGGTCCGATTGGCCTATTCAGAGTCTCAAATTGGGTTCTCTCTCTTATGTATGCACACGATGCATCCAAAATGTGCAACATCTCCTCAACCTCTTCTTCAAGTTCCAAGTGATTGAACAATGTCAATGCCTTTTCTAGTGCATCTTCTTTAAACGCCCTTGGCTCTACGGCTAGTTCATTTATATCCACCACTAAAATCATGGCCAGGTCCTCATAATGATGAGGCAACTGAATGGCTCGATATATATTGAAGACTGCTTCTTTATTGTCCACCCTCAAGATCATCTTACCTTCTCGGACTTTGCTAATTGCATCTCCAGTGGCCAAAAGAGGTCGTCCCAAGATGATAGGAACTAACTCATCAGTCACGTAATCTAGGATGATAAAATCTGCAGGAAAAATAAACTTCCCAATCTGTGGCAGGACGTCCTCAATTACCTCCTCGGGATAAACATAAGATCTATCAGCTAACTGTAGCATCACCGTGGTGGGTCTCGGAGCTCCTAAGCCGAATTGTTTGAACAATGACAATGGCATCAGATTGATACTTGCACCCAAATCACACAAGGCTCTACCCACATCAAATTCACCAATCCTCACGGGGATGGTAAAACTACCCGGATCCTTAAGCTTTTGTGGAAGCTTATGTTGAATCCTGGAAGTGCACTCCTCAGTAAGTGCTACGGTCTCAAACTCAGTTAACCTCCTTTTATTTGCCACTATCTCCTTAATATATTTTGCATATTTTGGGACCTCACGGAGCATGTCCACTAAAGGGATGTTCAAATGTATCTGCTTCAACATATCTAGGAATTTGTGAAACATGTGGGCTTCATTCTTCTTTCTCAATCTTTGAGGAAAAGGGGTGGCACCCTCTCTGATTTTTGCTCAGGCTCTGTTTTGTTTCTCTCATCTACCTCTACAGGTTTTGGCACTCTTTCTTCTTCGAGCCCAGATTGCTTCTTTTCTTCTTAGGCACTTCTACCAAATCTCTCCCATTTCTCAACGTCACTGCATTGACTTGAGGATTTTTCTCTGTATCACTTGGGAGAGCTCCAGCAGGTCTCGTATTCTAATTGTTAGCCATCTACCCAAACTGCCTCTCTAGATTTCTGAACTCTGTGCGCAATTGTTGATTCTCAGCCATAACTTTCTGATTGTCTATCAAGAGCTTTTTCATCATGTCAGTCAGACTCTCCTCTGCTTGATGTGGAGGTTAAGGTGGATGATTGTAATTTGCTTGAGGCCTGATATTCTAATTTCCACCTTAAGAGAAGTTAGGATGATTCCTCCAGTTCGGATTGTATGTGTTACCATATTGAGCATTTTAATTCATCGGCCATCTAGCTTGTTACCCCACGTAGTAGATGGATTCAGAATTCACGGGGCACATGTCACTTGCGTGACCTTCACCGCATAACTTGCAGCAAGTAGACATCTATTACACATGTTGCATTTGTTGTGCATGGTGCATTGTTATTTTATTCATCCGATTTGCTAATCTCGCTATATCTGCCCTCATTGCTGAGAAATCATCAAGCTCGATCACACCTGCTGCCTTTTGTTTAAGTGCTCTTCGTGGTTCCCCATCTCCTTGCCAATTATTATCATTAGCAGTGAAATTGTTTAGCAGGATCTGGATCTCACTATACGGTCTTGCCATGCAACTACCCCCACATGTTGAGTCAAGATTCATCTTTGATGCCTCGTCCAACCCATCAACAAAAGTGTGACCCAACATCTCATCAGTCTGACAATGGTGTGGGCAGTCTCTGAGTAGCCTCTTGTATCTTTCCCAAGCTTGTCGAAGAGTCTCACCATCTCGTTTTTGAAACCCAAGAATCTAACTCCTCAGTGACTTTGTCTTCTTTGTAGGAAAAAACTTGATTAAGAATTTCCTTGCTAGATCATCCCAATTGTGAATTGATTTTGCGGGATCCTTTTGTAACCATTCCTTAGCTTCCCCCATCAGTGAAAAGGGAAACAGTGTCATCCTAACATAGTCCTTGGAAACGTTCGGATAATTGTAAGTGTCTGTAATTTCCAGAAAGTTCTGAATGTACCTCTGCGGGTCTTCATGAGATAAGCCAACATATTGCCTTGTGGATTGAATCAGCTGTACCATGTACTGTTTAAGTTCAAAGGGACCCGTGATATCAGGCTTCACAATCGCCTGAGTCATAAGAGCCAGATTGGGCCTTGCAGCTTCTATCATCAGACGCTCTTCATTACCTGCCATCTCTATTGGTTGTGGTTGAACTATGATGTCCAACTCTCTTTCAATTCTAGTTCTAGCTTCAACTTCCCTCCTCACTCTATGAAGTGTTCGTTTGATTTCAGGGTCAAGAGGAAGGAGATTGGTTGCGCTTCTACTCCTCCGCATTCAAGAGAAGAGCCTGCGTTAACACAAATAAAGCAAACTAAAAATTAAAAATTGAACAAATAATGAATAAAAGCTTAACTTAACTAAACAATCAATAACTAAGTCTCCGGCAACGGCGCCAAAAACTTATTGGTTCCCCAAGTACACGCAAGTATATGTGATCGTCAAGTAATAAAGTGACTCGAAAGTCGGATATCGAACCCACAGAGACTTAGATTAATCGTTAACTAAGAAAACTAAAATCAATTAATTGTCCAAGCAATTTAAGAGTGCCGTTTTCTATTAATCTACTATTGCGGAAATTAAACAAGTAACAACTAATTTATCAAGAATGCAAATGTGTATGATGAGATTTTACTTCAGAGGAGATGATAATTCCACGGTTGTGGTTGATTTATCAATCCTATTAAGTTCAGTAATCACACTCGTTAATCCAGATTATCTATGGTTTCTAACTAATTGGATCATTTATATAAATAAAATATTCCCACAATACTACTTGCCTGCCTACAATATATCAATCCTATATTCCTATGGTATTGAGTCTATCATGAACGAATATAATATGATATTCAATTAAGCAAGACTATTAGGTA